TTGAAAAATGGGTTTTTTTTTTTTTTTTTTTTTTTCGAGTGGGGAAGGCTCAAACCAGCTCATTTTCACTCAAATACTAATTTTGGGATCTTTCTATCAGGGGACCCTTCTCAACTTTCCCATCCTCCTGGGGATGCTTCCCAGCTGTGTGGCTGAAGTGAAAGGCTGTGAAGAGCTCTGAAAAAAGGGCAGAGAACTGGACAGAAGAGATGAATGGGGTGATGCATCCATAGAAGGGTTTGGTTTGGAAGGGACCTTAAAACCAATTCCACCCCCTGCCATGGGCAGGGACACCTCCCAGCACCCCAGGCTGCCCAAGCTCCATCCACCTGGCCAAAAGCTGGGTGTGGATGCTGTCCTCTTTCCATTCCATCACTCAGAGCACAGCCCTGGTGGCACAGGATGGCCCAGAGCTCCTTTTCCCACTTCCCCAGCTGCCAGCGCTGCGGCAGGAGAGCAATCAGCCTTCCCATCGGGGGCCAGCCAGCCTCAGCACTTACTCTGCATTATTTGCAGCCGTGGAGGGAGGGAAATAAAGCCACACAATGCTGCCACTTATTTAAACACATTTTCTCAAGTGAGTTTTCTGTTGGCAGGATGTCTGGGCATCAAAGGAGTCGCCGGTCGGGGCCTCGCAAACGGGGCCGGTGTTGGTGGGCAAACAACAGTGAGAGCAGTAAAACAGCAGTAATGCCAAAATAATCAAATTTGGGTTAATGTGCATTTGAAACAGAGCAAAACGCGCTGCTGGGGTGCACGGGGAAGGTGTAAATTATACCACAATGCATTCCCGTGGAGATTCGAGCTCACAATTTTGCCCTTAAGCTGCAGAGGCAGAGAATTCTGACAAATAGGCTGGTGTGGGGATGCGTGTGCACCTTGGGAGCAGCCACGCAGACAGAGAGCCCTTTCCATCCCTGCTCTGGCAGTGACCAGGCTGAGGAGCTCTGCTGGGACGTGGATCCTTCCCAGCAGTGGGATTTGGGGAAGCTGCCCGAGCACAGGAGCCTGTGGCTGCCCAGCAGGAGCTGCAGCAGTTCCAGGTCTCAGAGGAGACAGGCAGCTTCCTGACACTGCAGCTGCAGGAGGCTGTGCTCATGCTCCCTGTGAGAGCTGAGTTATGTTTTAGCACTCCCCACAAATGAATAAATCATGATAGCAGAGATTTTGGAGAAGGCTGGAAAATCCAGGATAACCCGTGCTCCTGGTGCTCTCAGGTGGGATATAAACCTTTGAACCCCCAACTCCTGTTTCTAACCCAGGAACCTCTCTGCCCACCTCCAGCAGAGCCCCTCCATCACCCCTGAGAGCCAACGGAGACCCCCAGTTCTCACCCAGCACCCCTTTGTGCCAGGGCTCCTGCACAGCCAGCTGCACCCAGGCCACCGTGTTCCCCTGTTCCCATGGGACAAAGCCACCAGGGCTTGCTCTCAGCCCTTTGTGGGGTTTGTCCTTCTCTGCTTTGCCCTTTCTGGGTGGCCATGGTCAAACTGTGTCACCCAGACCAACCATTTGAGCTGACCTCCAGCCTGGAACTACAGGGTTGGGTTCACCCACATAAAAAACTTTCCCTACCCAGCCACGATGTCCTTGCTCTGTCTTGGGCTCAGGCTTTGAACATCCACCCAAAGCCTTCTTCCTCTTGAAGAAAGGAAAAACTTGCTCTTCTAAAGTCCAAACTCTTTGTTCCCGTGTCCTTCTGTTTTCTTTTCCCTTTTCCTTGCAGCCCCCTGGGATTTCCATTCTCTTGGAGCTGTTTAATTTCAAGATCCCCAAGCTCTCTCAAGTGCACTTTGCAGGATTGGTTCAGTGCTCTTTGCACTGATCAGACAAGGAGGAAAACATCAGCTGCAGTGAGGTCTGGAGGAGCATCATGGGCTGGGCCATTCCCCAGGGAACAGGGGTGGAAAGCTTGGATGTGGGGGTGGAGATGGGGATGGGAGCAGAGACAGCAGCTCCCTGCACTGGGATTTCTTCCTGGAAACCTCTGGGGAGCTGCTTTTCAGTACAAGACATCCCAATGTGAGCAAGAGCCTCCCTCCTCTCTTCACCCAGACTCCTTTATTTAGAGGGAAGATAATTTTCAAATTGAGAAGCAAAAAAAAAACCTAAATACACTTTGAGGTCATGAATGAAGTGGCATCTCCATCCCAGGATGTCTCAGTGCCTTGGCTGGGCAATGCCAAGGTCTCCTGATGAAGACAGTTCTGAATTTGTGCTTCAGAGCTTCCCAACCAGCACCACAACAACTGAAACCCAGCTCAGACCTCAGCTGTGAACTGACTGTGCCTGTAGGTGCTTGACACCCACCAGGCTGGGCACTAAACCAGAATTCCTGCAGCACCTCCTTGCCAGGCTCTGCTTGAAGCTCTTCCCTCCTCTCTGTTGTTAACGCAGAGCTTTCCAGCCCTGTTTTCAGAGGAAATACCCTGTTTTCTGTGACAGCCAATGGGTGTGGAACACCCAAGGGCTTCCCTGTGTTTGTGGAGAGATTCTGCCTTGCCTGGTTTGTTGAGTGATCACAGGGACCACGGCCAAACGTGCAGGATGGGGCTGGTAGGGGAGCATGACTACACCATGCCAGGAAATCCAACCTTTCTGCTGGGAATGCTGATAAAATCCCCAGCAGCCTTCACAGCCTGAGCAGGCTCTGTGGCTGAGCTCCCAGCAGAAATGGCACCCTGAGTTTGTTTGTGCAAGAACAAACTGGTTATGTGATCAAAGAAACCTTCTCTGCACCTGGGGGCTCACCAGCACAGGGACATCCCACTGCTCTGGAAGTGAAAATGCTGGCAGAGGCTTTTCCTGCTCATTAAATGGAATAATTTGAGCCTGTGTGAGACCTCCTCATACCCACACAGAGCTGGGGATGGGAGAGGACCTTCTCCAAGCTGCCACAGGGGGTCCTGAGGCTGGGTTGACCCCAAAAATCTGGGTTGATGCCAGCTGCTGCAGTGGGGGACACTTCCCATCTCCAATCCATGACATCTGCCTGCTCAGCTTGAGCCAGCACGAACAAGCCAAAAGACTCTGGTTTATGTCATCCAGAGGGATGGTTTCCTATTCTGGAAAAAACCATCCCTGCTGGTATAAGCTGTCTCCTCCTGTAGCAGCACAGAGCAGACAAAGCCTCGCAGTGCTGGCAAGCCACAGCCTGGTGCATGGGCCAGCTCTTCCCAGAAATCAGGAGAGGCTGCTGCACCTCCACCTGTGGGTGCTGAAAGCCCAGAGCACGTGCTGGGTGTCCTGGCCACGGGATTTGGGTCGGGTCTGAGCTGCCTGCGGGGACGATGTGAATTCTCAGGTTTCCCAAATAATGTTTAAGCTGGAGAATTGTGGAATCTTAGTCATGGAATGGTTTGGATTGAAAGAGACCTTAAAGATCATCCAGTTCCAAGCCCCTGCCAAGGGCAGAGACGCCTTCCACTGTCACAGGGTGCTCCAAAACCCCTCCAGCCTGGCCTTGGACACTTCCAGGGATCCAGGGGCAGCCACAGCTTCTCTGGGCATCCTGTGCCAGGGCCTCACCACCCTCACAGGGAAGAATTCCTTCCTAATATTTAGTCTAAATCTCATCTTTAAATTTAAAACCATTCTTTATGCATCAGATTGGATATTAGGA